CTAAGGGAGGTGTTACTCAACTAAGGGAGATGTTACTCAACTAAGGGAGATGTTACTTATCTAAGGGAGATGTTACTCAACTAAGGGAGATGTTACTCAACTAAGGGAGGTGTTACTCAACTAAGGGAGATGTTACTCATCTAAGGGAGATGTTACTCAACTAAGGGAGATGTTACTCAACTAAGGGAGATGTTACTTATCTAAGGGAGATGTTACTCAACTAAGGGAGATGTTACTCAACTAAGGGAGATGTTACTTATCTAAGGGCGATGTTACTTATCTTAGGGAGATGTTACTCAACTAAGGGAGATGTTACTCAACTAAGGGAGACGTTACTTATCTAAGGGCGATGTTACTTATCTAAGGGAGATGTTACTCAACTAAGGGAGATGTTACTCAACTAAGGGAGATGTTACTCAACTAAGGGAGATGTTACTTATCTAAGGGCGATGTTACTTATCTAAGGGAGATGTTACTCAACTAAGGGAGATGTTACTCAACTAAGGGAGATGTTACTCAACTAAGGGAGATGTTACTTATCTAAGGGCGATGTTACTCAACTAAGGGAGATGTTACTCAACTAAGGGAGATGTTACTCAACTAAGGGAGATGTTACTCAACTAAGGGAGATGTTACTTATCTAAGGGCGATGTTACTCATCTAAGGGAGATATTACTTATCTAAGGGAGATGTTACTCAACTAAGGGAGATGTTACTCATCTAAGGGAGATGTTACTCAACTAAGGGAGATGTTACTCAACTAAGGGAGATGTTACTTATCTAAGGGCGATGTTACTTATCTTAGGGAGATGTTACTCAACTAAGGGAGACGTTACTTATCTAAGGGCGATGTTACTTATCTAAGGGAGATGTTACTCAACTAAGGGAGATGTTACTCAACTAAGGGAGATGTTACTCAACTAAGGGAGATGTTACTTATCTAAGGGCGATGTTACTCAACTAAGGGAGATGTTACTCAACTAAGGGAGATGTTACTCAACTAAGGGAGATGTTACTCAACTAAGGGAGATGTTACTTATCTAAGGGCGATGTTACTTATCTAAGGGCGATGTACCTTATCTTAGGGAGATATTACTTATCTAAGGGAGATGTTACTCAACTAAGGGAGATGTTACTTATCTAAGGGAGATGTTACTCAACTAAGGGCGATGTTACTCAACTAAGGGAGATGTTACTCAACTAAGGGAGATGTTACTCAACTAAGGGAGATGTTACTTATCTAAGGGCGATGTTACTTATCTTAGGGAGATATTACTTATCTAAGGGAGATGTTACTCAACTAAGGGAGATGTTACTCAACTAAGGGAGATGTTACTCAACTAAGGGAGATGTTACTCAACTAAGGGAGGTGTTACTCAACTAAGGGAGATGTTACTTATCTAAGGGAGATGTTACTCAACTAAGGGAGATGTTACTCAACTAAGGGAGATGTTACTTATCTAAGGGAGATGTTACTCAACTAAGGGCCATGTTACTTATCTAAGGGAGATGTTACTCAACTAAGGGAGATGTTACTTATCTAAGGGAGATGTTACTCAACTAAGGGAGGTGTTACTCAACTAAGGGAGATGTTACTCAACTAAGGGAGATGTTACTTATCTAAGGGAGATGTTACTCAACTAAGGGAGATGTTACTCAACTAAGGGAGGTGTTACTCAACTAAGGGAGATGTTACTTATCTTAGGGAGATGTTACTTATCTAAGGGAGATGTTACTCAACTAAGGGAGATGTTACTCAACTAAGGGAGACGTTACTTATCTAAGGGCGATGTTACTCAACTAAGGGCGATGTTACTTATCTAAGGGCGATGTAACTTATCTAAGGGCGATGTTACTTATCTAAGGGAGATGTTACTCAACTAAGGGAGATGTCACTCATCTAAGGGAGATGTTACTCAACTAAGGGAGATGTTACTCAACTAAGGGAGATGTTACTTATCTAAGGGAGATGTTACTCAACTAAGGGAGATGTTACTCAACTAAGGGAGATGTTACTCAACTAAGGGAGATGTTACTTATCTAAGGGAGATGTTACTTATCTAAGGGAGATGTTACTTATCTAAGGGAGATGTTACTTATCTAAGGGAGATGTTACTCAACTAAGGGAGATGTTACTCAACTAAGGGAGATGTTACTCATCTTAGGGAGATGTTACTTATCTAAGGGAGATGTTACTCAACTAAGGGAGATGTTACTCAACTAAGGGAGATGTTACTTATCTTAGGGAGATGTTACTTATCTTAGGGAGATGTTACTCAACTAAGGGAGATGTTACTTATCTAAGGGAGATGTTACTCAACTAAGGGAGATGTTACTCAACTAAGGGAGACGTTACTTATCTAAGGGCGATGTTACTTATCTAAGGGCGATGTAACTTATCTAAGGGCGATGTTACTTATCTAAGGGAGATGTTACTCAACTAAGGGCGATGTTACTTATCTAAGGGTGATGTAACTTATCTAAGGGAGATGTTACTCAACTAAGGGAGATGTTACTCAACTAAGGGAGATGTTACTTATCTAAGGGAGATGTTACTCAACTAAGGGCGATGTTACTCAACTAAGGGAGATGTTACTCAACTAAGGGAGATGTTACTCAACTAAGGGAGATGTTACTTATCTAAGGGCGATGTTACTTATCTTAGGGAGATATTACTTATCTAAGGGAGATGTTACTCAACTAAGGGAGATGTTACTCAACTAAGGGAGATGTTACTCAACTAAGGGAGGTGTTACTCAACTAAGGGAGATGTTACTCAACTAAGGGAGATGTTACTCAACTAAGGGCGATGTTACTCAACTAAGGGAGGTGTTACTCAACTAAGGGAGATGTTACTCAACTAAGGGAGGTGTTACTCAACTAAGGGAGATGTTACTCATCTAAGGGAGATGTTACTCAACTAAGGGAGATGTTACTCAACTAAGGGAGATGTTACTTATCTAAGGGCGATGTTACTTATCTAAGGGAGATGTTACTCAACTAAGGGAGATGTTACTCAACTAAGGGAGACGTTACTTATCTAAGGGCGATGTTACTTATCTAAGGGAGATGTTACTCAACTAAGGGAGATGTTACTCAACTAAGGGAGATGTTACTCAACTAAGGGAGATGTTACTTATCTAAGGGAGATGTTACTCAACTAAGGGAGATGTTACTTATCTAAGGGAGATGTTACTCAACTAAGGGAGATGTTACTCAACTAAGGGCAATGTTACTTATCTAAGGGAGTTGTTACTCAACTAAGGGAGATGTTACTCAACTAAGGGAGACGTTCCTTATCTAAGGGCGATGTTACTTATCTAAGGGAGATGTTACTCAACTAAGGGAGATGTTACTCAACTAAGGGAGACGTTACTTATCTTAGGGAGATATTACTTATCTAAGGGAGATGTTACTCAACTAAGGGAGATGTTACTCATCTAAGGGAGATGTTACTCAACTAAGGGAGATGTTACTCAACTAAGGGAGATGTTACTTATCTAAGGGAGATGTTACTCAACTAAGGGAGATGTTACTTATCTAAGGGCGATGTTACTTATCTAAGGGAGATGTTACTCAACTAAGGGAGATGTTACTCAACTAAGGGAGATGTTACTCAACTAAGGGAGACGTTCCTTATCTAAGGGCGATGTTACTTATCTAAGGGAGATGTTACTCAACTAAGGGAGATGTTACTCAACTAAGGGAGACGTTACTTATCTAAGGGCGATGTTACTTATCTAAGGGAGATGTTACTCAACTAAGGGAGATGTTACTCAACTAAGGGAGATGTTACTTATCTAAGGGAGATGTTACTCAACTAAGGGAGATGTTACTCAACTAAGGGAGATGTTACTCAACTAAGGGAGATGTTACTCAACTAAGGGAGACGTTCCTTATCTAAGGGCGATGTTACTTATCTAAGGGAGATGTTACTCAACTAAGGGAGATGTTACTCAACTAAGGGAGATGTTACTTATCTAAGGGCGATGTTACTTATCTAAGGGCGATGTACCTTATCTAAGGGAGATGTTACTCAACTAAGGGAGATGTTACTCAACTAAGGGAGATGTTACTTATCTAAGGGAGATGTTACTTATCTAAGGGCGATGTACCTTATCTTAGGGAGATATTACTTATCTAAGGGAGATGTTACTCAACTAAGGGAGATGTTACTCATCTAAGGGAGATGTTACTCAACTAAGGGAGATGTTACTCAACTAAGGGAGATGTTACTTATCTAAGGGAGATGTTACTCAACTAAGGGAGATGTTACTTATCTAAGGGCAATGTTACTTATCTAAGGGAGTTGTTACTCAACTAAGGGAGATGTTACTCAACTAAGGGAGATGTTACTCAACTAAGGGAGACGTTCCTTATCTAAGGGCGATGTTACTTATCTAAGGGAGATGTTACTCAACTAAGGGAGATGTTACTCAACTAAGGGAGACGTTACTTATCTAAGGGCGATGTTACTTATCTAAGGGAGATGTTACTCAACTAAGGGAGATGTTACTCAACTAAGGGAGATGTTACTTATCTAAGGGAGATGTTACTCAACTAAGGGAGATGTTACTCAACTAAGGGAGATGTTACTCAACTAAGGGAGATGTTACTCAACTAAGGGAGATGTTACTCAACTAAGGGAGATGTTACTCAACTAAGGGAGACGTTCCTTATCTAAGGGCGATGTTACTTATATAAGGGAGATGTTACTCAACTAAGGGAGATGTTACTCAACTAAGGGAGATGTTACTTATCTAAGGGAGGTGTTACTCAACTAAGGGAGATGTTACTCAACTAAGGGAGATGTTACTCAACTGAGGGAGATGTTACTCAACTAAGGGAGATGTTACTCAACTAAGGGAGATGTTACTCAACTAAGGGAGATGTTACTTATCTAAGGGAGATGTTACTCAACTGAGGGAGATGTTACTCAATTAAGGGAGATGTTACTCATCTAAGGGAGATGTTACTCATCTTAGTGAGATGTTACCTACTTGTGTTTTGCTTCATGAACTCTCAATTTGTCGTACAAATCCGAGATTTCACCATAACCTGTGGAAAATGATTAGCATTACTTTTCAGCGTGAAAGTGAAAAAAGCAAATCCATCCATCCATCCATATAATGGCAGAATGATAATAATAAATAAGTGTATACATGCTTCCTTCACATTTTCTGGGTCAAATAGGTTTGTAAGATTAAGAATATAACCCAAGAATCTGGAGCAAATAAATTCCAAATATCTGTGATCCTGTTTGTGACGTTAGGTGTGCGTACCTGGCAGGAAGCACAGCACAGTTCCCCGGACAGGGGAGAAGTTAGTGTCTTTGTCCAGTCTGATAACAGAGAGGCATTCAAGGAATAAATACATCACATGAACATCGAATGAGAGTTGGGGTGAGTGAGTGAGTATGGTTTTATGCCGCTATTAGCAATATTCCAGCAATATCACGGCGGAGGACACCAGAAATGGGCTTCACACATTGTACCCATGTCGGGAATCGAACCCAGGTCTTCGGCGTGACGAGCGAACGCTTTAACCACTAGGCTACCCGACCGCCCCACATCGAATGAGAAATAGTTCTCATGGAACAAGCTGAAGAGCTGAAGAAATAAAGAAAATAACGAACAAACGATTATTGTTAAACTTTATCAAACATTTACTGAATGTCACATTGAAAAGACGCAGATCTGTAACAGTATTTACCATGTACTTGTTTAATGAGTTCATGGTATTTCAAGTTGAGCAAGACAACAAACATGTACCCTTGCTCTTTGCGTTCCAGTGAGTCGAACTCACAGATGAGTTTCACCGCCATGTTCTCGATCTCCTCACTCAATTCAGGCTTGCACTCATCGAACTCAGGGAGCTGCAGACAGGGAGCGTGTGAAATAAAACATTACGGACAACTGGAGGTCACCCAAAACAGGTCACACAACATGACCGCCCAACCTGCATAAAATGTGTGTGTGTGAATGTGTGTGTGCATGTGTGTGAGCGTGGGTGCCAGTGTGTGCTTGTTGTTTTCAATGCTGCACTCAACAACATCCCAGCAATATGATGGCGGCCTGTAAATAAACAAGTAAACACGAACCAAGTCAAAGCGCCTGACAAACCAATCTCTAATTTCGACTCTTACAATCTGCATACATAGCTAGGTACCGATTAAAAAACCTAAACACTGACAATGACCTACGACTTATTTTGACCAAGCACTGAATCTAGGGAAGGTATATAGCTAGTTTAATGATCCATGCATTACTACCTTTTGAGAAAGTGCAACTGAAACATTTTAGTGAGTTTTTTTTCTAATAACCTTGACCTTTGAACTTTTTATGACATGTGTGAAACGAATTCCCCAGAAGAAATCAATGGTGGAGTCATCTCTAATTTCAATAATGTTGGTGTAGTACACATAAGCAAAATCACCGCCAGTGGTCAATTCCTTCAACACCTTGAAGCAGTCTCTCTCCCAGTGCTGCAAATTAAACTTTTGTAAATAAAGAAAGACAGCTTTTACATCTATGTTCATAATATGTGCTGCAGAAAAGTTAGTGGATTCTATCAAATCTTTTCATGAACACACAGAGGAATTACAACAGTTTTGCTTCAGAATTTAACTTCAGAATACGGTTACCAATATCGCACAAGTAATTGTCACAGGTACTTCTTTTGATGCTTGCATTGTTTGTTTGATGTTTAACGCTGCACTCAGTAATATTCCAGCTATATGACGGCGGTCTGTAAGTAATGTAGTCTGGACCAGACAATCCAGTGATTGACATCACGAGCATCAATCCACGCAATTAGGATACGATGACATGCATCAACCAAGTCAGCGAGCCTGACCACAGATCCCATTGGTCGCCTCTTATGACAAGCATAGTTGCCTTTTACGGCAAGCACTGGTTGCTGAAGACCTATTTTACCCCAGATCTTCACGGGTATTTTGATGCCTGTAAGATAGATACAATATAAGGAATGGTCTCCCTGGATTTATAATTCCCAAAAGGCTTTAAGTCAATGCTTACCACTCCAAGTGTGGGAGTGAGATCGTCAGCATAGAATTCCGACACCCTGAAGACTCGGCCCTCTACGCTCACCACCGGTGCCGGTTCCAGGCGATCTCGCACTGGCAGGGCAAAGTAGCTGGCAAACAGGTCACAGTCGATGGTGGCTGACATCAGGATCACCTGCAGGACAGAGCTTCACAGATCAATCACTGACCACACACAGATCAATCACTGACCACACAGATCAATCACAGGCCACACACAGATCAATCACTGACCACACACAGATCAATCACCGACCACACACAGATCAATCACTGACCACACACAGATCAATCACTGACCACACACAGATCAATCACAGACCAGACACAGACCAATCACTGACCACACACAGATCAATCACCGACCACACACAGATCAATCATTGACCACACAGATCAATCACTGACCACACACAGATCAATCACTGACCACACAGATCAATCACTGACCACACACAGATCGATCACTGACCACACACAGATCGATCACTGACCACACACAGATCAATCACCGACCACACACAGGTCAATCACAGACCACACACAGATCAATCACTGACCACACACAGATCAATCACTGACCACACACAGATCAATCACTGACCACACACAGATCGATCACTGACTACACAGAGATCAATCACTGACCTGACACAGATCAATCACAGACCACACAGATCAATCACTGACCACACACAGATCAATCACTGACCACACACAGATCAATCACTGACCACACACAGATCAATCACTGACCACACACAGATCAATCACTGACCACACACAGATCAATCACTGACCACACACAGATCAATCACAGACCAGACACAGACCAATCACTGACCACACACAGATCAATCACCGACCACACACAGATCAATCATTGACCACACAGATCAATCACTGACCACACACAGATCAATCACTGACCACACAGATCAATCACTGACCACACACAGATCGATCACTGACCACACACAGATCGATCACTGACCACACACAGATCAATCACCGACCACACACAGGTCAATCACAGACCACACACAGATCAATCACTGACCACACACAGATCAATCACTGACCACACACAGATCAATCACTGACCACACACAGATCGATCACTGACTACACAGAGATCAATCACTGACCTGACACAGATCAATCACAGACCACACAGATCAATCACTGACCACACACAGATCAATCACTGACCACACACAGATCAATCACTGACCACACACAGATCAATCACTGACCACACACAGATCAATCACTGACCACACACAGATCAATCACTGACCACACACAGATCAATCACCGACCACACACAGATCAATCATTGACCACACAGATCAATCACTGACCACAGACACAGATCACACAAGGGAAACACAGATCACACATGGGACACACACAGATCACACATGGGACACAGAGAGATCACAACCAGAACATTTAAGTTCCACTGACCTTAACATGTTGTGAGTTGGTACGCAGCAACTTCCTCACTATCAGCAAGGCAAAATCTGACTCTTGGTCTCGTTCATGCACCTGAAAAAACAGGTATGACTTCACAACTGATTACTCTTGTCTGACTGTTGTGCAACGTCACACCATTGAAAATGTACTCAATCGTAACATACTTTTGACTCTCTCATCATTAATGTGCATAGAGATATACTGTAAATCTTGAAATTAACGCGAGCGTGAATTAAATGCGAAAAATGTGAGTGGTCTTTGTTCTCATGATCATTAATGAAACTTCACATTTATGTCTCCAAAATGACTATCAACAATAAGACGGCCTCACTGCACACTTAGGATAGCGGAAATACCAACTTGAATATAAACACAAATACAGTTTATTGAGCAGTTGTAACAAGTATATAACAATGTCATTCAAAGAATAGGAATTACACAATAGGCATCCGGTGAGTTATCACTGCTGGGGTCAAGAGTTCTACCCAGTCATGTCAAACTAGGCATCATTGACCACTCCAATCAGTTGTTGGTTCAATTATTTTATTGCCTTTGAACTTCCTTCATGCCAGTCAAAAGAATAAACATATAAACTGGGTGTTGTTTTTAGGAAAACACTTTTTATTGTTATTATGGAATTGCTTTACGCAGTGCTAATAAGCGGTGCTATTTGTGTTAGATTGGATTCAGGTGAGGATATGTATCATTCCACTGGGGATGGGGTGGGGGGAGTCGCATTGATTTTGAGCTGATTTTTTGGGTAGGGGTCAGCAGTCGTATTAATTTGGAGATGCATTAAATTCAAGATTTACAGTATGTAAAGAAAGAGCCTGAAGGGCACCACACATTTCAGAAGGAGTGGTCTTTGAAGAACTGCAGACTGACCTCATCAAGGATCACATGCGTGAACTGCAGCATATTCTTTGTTTTAATCAGCTTCTCTCTCAGTACCCCAGTTGTACAGTAGGTGATGCGAGTGTCCTCCGAAGTTTTGTTGTCCATGCCAATCTGAATAAGGAATAGATGTTACAATCATCATTGGGAATACACAAAACCTGTTCTTGTAGAACTAATTAACTGATTTTCTCTTTGTACTCCATTTGTTTTTAATGTGTTTTGCATATTCTTACAGTTATGAACAAATGTTGGAGCTGTGTGATAGGTTTTGCCTCTCAGCTGGAATAAACAAGATGTTCACACAGCTCTTTCTCTCTGTCAAAAATAAACAAAGAATGTATGTAGGAGTAATGCAGGATAAGTAAAAAATTGCCGATTTGCCTGCATCATGTCTCTAGTGAGGTGAGGTGAGGTGAGGTGAGGTGAGGTGAGGTGAGGTGAGGTGAGGTGAGGTGAGGTGAGGTGAGGTGAGGTGAGGTGAAATGGGGTTTAATGTCGCTTTCAAGATTATTGCACTTATATAGCGACGAGCATGCATGTGGGTGTGGCTACTTGTACTAGTCCCGACTAATGCCAATTTTATAGTGCTAGCCCACTCAGATACCATGCCGCAGTTTAACATGAATACCCCACTCAGACACAGTATACTGACTCCGAGCCGACCAGTCCTTGTTTTAGCTCTTTAATGCCGAGCGCCAGACAGGGTAAGAACAAGTGCCATCTTTTAACATATTTTGGTATGACGCAGGCGGGGATCGAACCCCAGACCTCCGTTCTCGGGGCGGATGCTCTACCACTAGACCACGGAGGCGGTCTCCCTAGTCAGACACAGTGGTACAGTCTTGATGAACAGGCCACTACCTGGTATCCACAGATGCTTCCAAGTGTCCAGCTCCTCTCAGAGCACACCCTCCTTGCCACGCTGACTGCGGCAATACGACGTGGCTGTGTGATGATGATGTTGCAGTGCTTGTGTTCCTGGGCGTAATGGTCCAGGATGTACTGGGGCACCTGTGTGGTCTTGCCGGAGCCGGTGGAGCCCTGGATCACGGTCACCTGGTTACTCTCTATTGTGCTCAACAGCTGCAACACAGGCCAACAAGGTTAGCGAGAGGGAAATATTGTTGAAGTACATGAGACAAGTCCTGACAATCCTGTTGATACATACATATATAGTGATCCAGCCATGAACTCCAAAACAAAAGAATCAATACTGCCAATAGAATGATCTTCCTTGACAAATCCAAATCCCATTTTATATATTAATAATTTCAACTTTGAAACCCAGTCAATATTTCCAATAGTACTAGATTATAATATTTTTTGGGAAAACGTGAGGTTAGGATACACAACAACTTATGCCAGTATTTAAGGCTTAAAAAAAAAGAAAAGAATTTGTTCTCAGGTAAACTTTTTTTAGAATATAGTGCGGTTGGGCGCTGTCTTTTTTGTGTGGTTGTTCAAACAAGCAAGTAACCAATAAACAGTTGTGTAATCAATAAACAGTTGTGTAATCAATAAACAGTTGTGTACAATCATCCTGGAAAAGGGCCTTCCAACATAAATGTATTCCTTGATAGTAAAATACTGGAATACAGTATTTGACCACCGTTGGACTTGGAATATTCCATATATATATGGAATATTTTCCACATTCACCACAAACGATGTGGTTGGGTGTGGATAATTTTAAACCAAGGGAATATTTACCTGCTAACACCTGCACTTTTCCTACCTCAGAGTCACTATTACAATCTAATCCCCCTGGTCCAGCTCCGTATAGGAGAACAGACATTACTTTCAAGTCAAATATCTTAAAAAATACCTCATGTGAGAGAGGTTTCAACTTTGAAAGGGATTTTAAATACCAAACAAAACCTTTTTGGAATGCCGAGCAGAACTGAACAGAGCTTTTTCAAGGATTTGTTTTTGTGAAAATATAATTCCCAGATATTTATATACAGATACACGCTCAATTTGCTTACCCTGAAAATACCATTTTTCGTTCTAAGATGCTGTGCATCCATTTTTAAAGAAAACCACTCTAGATTTATCAAAATTTACTACTAAAATATACAAGTAAAATCCTAGATATTTTTTTATATTTGTATACTTATCCTGCAATACTCCTTAATGTATTTACTGCTTGTTCTTGACAGAGAAAAGAGCTGTGTGAAGGTCTTGCTTGAAAAAGTTGTTTCAACAAGCTGATGGGCCAACCCATCGGCTAACTTCCGCTGTTCGAAGAGGCGGTGTCGTTGTCTACAGCGTTCCTTGGACCGACCGATGTAACAACACAATGCTCTCATATGGCACAGGAGGAGCTCTTTTTCATCTTCCGCATCAACTATCAATGGAAAGTGGTTCTTGGCAATGAAGTCCCAGCCCCGTCCGAGATCAACGGCTCCATGCGCTCCTTGCTCAAAGTGGAGCTCCTTGCTCCAAGGCGTGGAGTTCGCTAACACATACTGCCTTAGCGAGTGCCAGGAAGAAGGCAGTTTTCTTCGTCAGGTGGTAAAACGTCGCCGCTTTGAGTGGCTCAAAGGGCATGTTTCTCAGCAGGGTAAGAATCCCAAGCTGGTGGACGAAACTCCGAAATGCCTGTATTTTCGGGATTTTTGTCATATACCTATCCTCCAGAACGGCCAGAACAGAGTTGAGAGCCACAAGGTAGGTCATGATGGTACTACCCTTGAGCCAACACTTGTGGCAAAGAGAAGGAACTCGGCCAGGAATTGAGGTGATGCAGTGGCGAGGTCTTGATGTTTTTCCCTGCAAAAAACTCTCACAGGACAGCCACTTGTCATCATAGAGGCTCCTAGTGGATAGACGATGTGCCATCGTGATGGCCTTTGCCATTCTGGCCGAGTACCCTCTAGCGTTTAACACTCTCTGTAGATGGACCAGACGTGCAGACATAACCCGTCTGGTCCCAGATATTGGCGCCTGCTGTGGGGATGGATCAGGTTTTGCCAGTTCGGGAGTGGCACCAGGTCTTTGTCAGCTAGTTCTCTGAGGTCAAAGAACCAGGCCCTCGCCGGTCACCAGGGTGCAACCAAAGTCAGATCAAGGCATCGCATCAACTTGATCTTTTGGATGATCTTGGGAAGGAGTACAGGAGGCGGAAAAGTGTACACTTTTAGTCCTTCCCAGAGTATCCTGAAGGCATTGAATGCGCAGGCCAGGGGATCCAGTACCGGCGATATGAATGTCGGTACTCGATGGTTCTGGCTGGTGGCGAACAGGTTGATGTTGGGGTGACTGTGCTCCCACTCTGTGGGGGCGACTTTATCCGTCTGGGATAGAGCGTCCGCCAGGATGTTGCGACAGCCCAGAATGTGTTGAACCTGGAACTGGATCCCCAGAAGATCCACCAGGTTGAAGAAGCAGAACGTCTGTTGTAGGAGCAAGGGTGAGTGAGTCTTGATTCCTGAGGCACCAGACGACAGTTATGTTGTCTGTCGAAATGGAGGGACGGGCGCGTAGGAGGGTCTGTTTCCAATGGGAGACAACCAGAATAAGCACCTCCAGTTCTAGGTTGTTGATGTAACACTGTAGCTGAGCGGCGGACCACAGCCCCGAGGTGACCTGTCCCTCTAGATGTGCGCCCCATCCATGAAGGGAGGTGTCAACAAAGAGGTGTAACGAGGTCGTAAGCCCTGTCAAGGAGATGCCGCCTAAGACATTAGATTCTACAGGCTACCACCGGAAATGAGGTTTGAGGTGATCCGGGAGGACGCAGTTGGAGCCTTCCTCTGTTGGTCAAGTCCTGAGCTGAGGTTAGGAGGCCCAGGAAGACTTGCCACTGGCGCAGTGTGCGAGACTGGTGGAACGCCAGGACCAAGTGAAGTTGTATACGGTCCCTGGATACAGAGAGACCGAGATCGGTCTGAAAGAGGCCGCCAATGAACTGAAGACGGAATGAGGGCATCAGCTCTGACTTCCTAAGTTTGATCTTCAAACCCAGTTGGTGGGTAAAGTCTCTGTTATGAGTGACCATGTCCCAATGAACCGAATATCCTTAAAATGGAGGTATGAGGCCATTCGCTTGGTAAAGAAATTCCAAATGGGAGGACTGCCCATTAGTAATGGACTCCAATAAATATGAAGAAGAGGTACTTCCGGTCATCAGGATAAATCGGGACATGGAGATATGCGTCCTCAATATCCAGGCTGATCAGTGCATCGTGCGCCTGGATCTTGGAGCGTGGTCATCTTGAAGTAAGGTGGATGCGCCAGGTAGCATTTGTTGAATGAAGTGAGGTTTGGAATCATCCTGTATGTGTCCGAGTCCTGCTTGGGGACCAGGAAGATGGGTGAGTAGAAGCCAGTGTTATGGCTGGGGAGTGCCAGCAGCGACGCAATGTTCTGGTGTAGGAGTTGCTGTTCAGAAGGGGCCGCTGGGCCATCGGTTGACAGGAGAGCAGCTCCTAGACCAGGGCGTCCGGCAGAACGAGCTGCTGCCACTACGACGAGAAGGCGTACTAGCCGAGGTGGAGTCCAGAGAGCATCAGGAGGTAACTGACTGATCCAGTATCGGTGCGAGAGAATGGGTCTGTATTGGCGTATGTAGAGGCGTATGTAGAGGCGTACTGCGGAGAAGCACCACGATAGGCGCCTACAGAGGCACTAGAGGCGGAGCGTGTAAAGGCATCTGTATAGGCGCCGTTTACTGTATAGGCGCCATATGGAGAGGCGCTTGTAAAGGCGTATGTATAGGTGCAGGGGCTTTAGTTGAGGCTGAAGGCGTCGGCGTCTGCATGTACTGTTGATAGCCATAGCCTAAGGGTGTCAGTATGGTGAACTGTGGTCATGATAGTGGATGCCGCTGTGTAGACGGACGTGGTGGTGGTCGTCAAAGTGCTCTGTGTCGACATGGAGACAGGTCTAGATGAAACCATGGCCGCTGTAGATGCCGGGGAGTCTCTGTCCGAGGATGCTGTGAAGGCAGTCCGTCTGAAAGCTGTGCGCCAAGAACAAGAACATTAACTCAAAAAAGTCAAAACATGTGAGGGCTGAACAAGTTTATGAGCAGATCAAAAACAGGTCTTCCTTCTGCTAGTGACAGAGGTAATGTGATGATCCTTGACGTCACTTCCCCTGGTCACGTGGGAGCTGTGTGATAGGGTTGGTCTTTCAGCTAGTTGAAACAACTTCTTCAAGCAAGATCTTTACATAGCTTGTTCTCTCTGTCAAGAACGAGCAAGTAAATGCATAAAGGAGTTCTGCCAGAAAAGTAAAAAATAGACATACCAATCCTCCATAAATATATTAGGCTCCGCAACAGACAAACCTGAAATCTTTTTTAATGTACTCCAAAATGCAAATTATTCATCAATAATTGTCCAGACTTATCCTGGTATAACTTGTTTTTATCCCTGATGATAGCTTTAAACTTATTTTAGCACATATAAAATCATTCAACGACTGATCACTATTGCATTTCCTAAACACAGTAAACAATCATTCTCTCTCATGACAGTAGTATTAACATTCACTTTCAAACCATGGCTATCAGCATAAACTACAATTATTGTTTTTATGTTTCATACATACGACAGCTTTACAAATTGCTTCAGTAAATAAATCTATTGCTCCATTAATATTAGTTAACATAAAGTCTAAACAGTCATCCAACACGGATACAATATTATCTGACAGTAAATTATCCCTAAACTGATCTGTATATAATCAAGGCTTATATCAAACATGTTTTTGGCTTTTACTGCTCTATTTGAGCATCAATCATTATTCACAGAAGAAAAAGTAGATTGGAATCTGAGGTCATATTTAAAAACAACAATGAGGATTCAAAATAATTTCCAAATTATTCAATACTTTAGAGGCAAAACTATTACTAAAGTTCACTGAAAACAAACTTTAGTTAAGCTCAATTTGTCAACCAGTTTTGGAGAAATCAATCTCATTAAAATCAGATCTTAGTTCTCGCTGCCGCTAAACAAAGATCTGAGGACATCCAATTATGGGTCCCGTCAGACCGACCTTTCGTAAACTCTGACTGACCAATGGAATTACTGACAAGAAGTTGACATTAGCCAATCAGAAGGCAGCTTTCTCGTGCTTTAAGGCACTAATTTCAAATTGGTGACTACGCTTAGAAACATATTTTGACAAATTCTCGCTTAAAAATTTGAAACCTGAACAAAAGAACATTCTCGAAATGCTAATGTATGGTCCAGATTGTATAGATTCAGTTGTTAAGCCCGTAACAATCGTTCGGAATACCCCGTTTTAAAGTTTTCGAGGCTGCATGATTAGAAGTCACATTCCGACTGTCATTTTCATGATCTGGTAAGCAACGCCGATTGGTCGGATGAAAGGTCGTTCTGACGTGACCCCTAATGGGATGTCCTCAGATCTTTGTTTAGCGGTAGCGAGAACTAAGATCTAATTTTAATGAGATTATGGAGAAATGGAAATAGGAAAATTATCTACTAACAAAATATGACATATCAAAACACAAGCTCATAGTCATTTTGTTCTTCTGGCCAGAGGAGTCTCAAGGACATAAGAAATGCCGCACCTGTTCCTTGTGGTATGTGATGGGCAGTTTCTTGTCATAGGTATGGGCAAATTGGTAGTTATCGTAGACCTCAACAGCTCCAGGGGGAACCAGGTCTTCTGGCATCCCCACGGAACCTGCCACGGTGCTGTCTAGTTCCAACTGCTCCAGTCTCCCAGCCATCCCCCCGGTGGACATCGGCCCGGCCTCAAGCGGCTGCAACACACATTCCAGGCATCATTGCAGGAAGTTCAACGCACACAATACTAGGGCTGCAACGAATACACTGTGAGGCGAATACGATTCATATCACGAATAAAGAGGACGTGAATGCGAATATTAATTCACAAATACAATGAAAAGTCAGCCGTTGATTTATCATTATTATTATTATAGTCAGTGAAACAAGAACAACATAAATTATTTGACATGGTTTGTTAATTATTAATATATTATACTTTTATATACTGCACTTATCCAGGTAGTCATATCTGCTCAAATGTGACAATGACCAGTGACCACATTACTGTCAAATTAAATATTATAAGAGTGTTGTCATTGAAAGAAATCTATGTATATAATATGTTCTTATGGATATTTTTAGGTACAGGGTATGTAAATGCACATGATTGCATTTTAATAAATATTCGATTCTAGTAGCCACGAATAACGAATTCAATTCATGAATGGTTACGGTTCAATTCACCGAATACGTGAGTGAATTGTAACAGCCCTACACAATACATAGACATGATGTTGAAACAATTAAAACCAAGGAATTTTCATTAGGTGTTTTTTTTTGTTAAAAAATTGGGACTGACAAAAATTGGCGAGACTGGTATTTTATAGAAATGCCAGCCTACTGGGACGGGAGATAAAAGCCAACAGGAACTCTGATAGAGATTCTATTTATCATCCAAAACCATTCAATTTTTTTTAAATTTGTAAATAGTAATAACCAGTCTCATGTGTGTACAAAGAACAGCTAACCAGCCTCAGTGGTAGAGATATTACTGATGTTATTTGATTGTGATGTCATGGTAGTGAGTGAGTTAAGTTTTAAGTCACATCGGCAATATTTCAGCCATATCGTGACTATCAAAGGTTTAAGATTATAAATACTTTGAAAATGTATAAAAAACCTGCCAACGATGGGCAGTAAAATAACTAGACATATCACAGAGAAATATTTAAAACTAGTATGGAGTCATAAAATTGATATTACGATACATAACAATACATTATAAAAACAGGCTATGATCTCCAACAACTGAAGGTAGATCACCACACTGGGGACCATGGGGACTTACAGTACTTTTGCTACCTGCATGGACCCCAGCTGGATTTACATGGAAACCAATATGTCACACTGGTCTGTAAGGCATTGTGATAGTAGAGGTATATCCTAGGAGACATCAACACTCAAGAGGCTGCACCCAAGCGATATCTCCTGTGGCAGCCAGTTTTGGATGATTCAGGGGTAGATTTAACAACAAGTCTGTATGTAGGCAGCAGGGCTTGCTCCTTTTAAAAGTTACTGGCCTTTCTCCAAACTAACTGGCCTACAACTGAATGTTGCGTAGCCACCTAGTGGGGCTCTGAAAATTTTAGAACGCCTCACTCCTGAAACACCAATTCCTGCACTTTTACATTTACATCAATCCATGGAAACTGATGAGCAGATGAAGATGTTGTACACAACATTACAAAGTGACGGCTTGTTGTTATACTACCAACATGACGGCATATATCTTTTCTCATCGAAATTACATGATTCACGAGCAGTGTCCAATAAACAAAATTAAACATACATGGATAAGGGGTGAAATTTTGACTAGCCAGACAGGCCATCTATGTACCATTTCAGCAAGCCCTTTGTAATTTTAACTGGCCACTGGCCAACAGTTAAATCGACCCCTGTGATAAATCAGCAATAGCACTTGGCACTAGTCCTGTTGTCCTTGCCAAACTACCCAATAGTTAGGATATCAAAGGTAAAAGAAGAAATTTGCCATTATTAAGGGTTTTTCTACATGCTATCATTGTAATTAAGGATTCTTACAAAAGTTTGCACATATTTTTTTTTTTATTCATACCTCAATGAACCGAAAAACATATAATCAATGCTTATAATTAAATTTGACGTAAAACAGGTTTTATCGACAATAGTTAAATCAAAAAGAGTTGTGTATTTCAAAACAGACAAAAATTACGAGATTGATAAACATTCCAGGTGTAGGAATACATACTGTGGCGTGACATGAATCAGGTGATCATTTAATTTATGCACATAAAATTACACGCCTACACAGTCAGTGGCCAATCAACGGAGGATAGGATCAAAATAATGTTCATTGGACCTGTCAATTAAGGCAAGAGGCGAAAAGAACTGCACCAGTCAGACTGTAACAAACCGGAAGAAATATGTCCGGGAGAAGGCAGCTGTTTAAAAAAACATGGTCAGTTACCGCCAGATTCAAACAGTGAATTTTAGTGAATGCAACGAGAATTTAATTATAAACAAGTAGACTAAAAATGTTAGTTTCCATCACTGTAAATACACCATGACACAGCAAGAACATTACCACAGTGTACATGGTGTACATTCTAGACTTGGTAATATGAATCAGGGCTCTATTTAAGGAAACCGATTTAACTTGCACTAGTGTCATGTTGAAATGAAAAGATAGTTGCACCTGACAATACCGGGTTTCACACTGGTCCCATAAACTTATCAAGGTTGAAACATAGATGCATAAATTAGTTTTAAATAAGTCAAATCTCAGATCTCTGATGACCGTGTCATGTGTCATGAAGTACACATAACACTGGGATTTGTGGTGTAGTGCTGTAAATAAAACTTCGCAGTACTGAGTGTGTTCAAAGATTGATGCTGTGAGGACATGTAAGGGCAGACAAAAAAGTAGACATCTGTTGACATGCACTTGGTGCATACAGACTTAAGTATAAGGTTGCATTTTTCAAAGATGGGTTGCACTGGTGGATGTTTTATATAGATAAACCGATCCCTGTGAAGGCCTAAAGGGTACCGACTAAAAGATAAACTGAAAGTGAAAATGAGGACATTTCAAAGAATTAGAAGTTATTGATCAATATTCACTTCTGAGGGATACAGAATAGCCCACTTTTAACTTGTCTAAAGGCTGCATGTTTCCACATGTCCATGAATGTGTAAACCTTTTATCGAGGCAAGGGAGTTAACTGACTATAAAAGTCCAGTTTCCACCCTTGCCGAACTGGGCTGGAATTTCTGGGTTCGATTGTAGTGCCGCCAGTGGCTATTACGAGTTATGTCCCTTCTATATCCCTCCTACTGACCAATCAGATTCCACCTCTCATATCACTTGCATCTACTTCAAACAAAATGGCAGCGCACAGTGAAGACGATCTGATCGATAATCAAGATTTATACCGTTATAAAACTAGTCTTACCCCGCGAAGTACATCAAACTACGTGAGCACCTTGATTTAAAACATGAAAAGATTTGGAAAATATCTATTGACGCTAAGTTGGTGGTACACATGCTTTACAATTCCTGAAATTGACCGAAATCTGCACGACAGTTTACAAACCGGAAGTTGATTTCATTAAGCGAGTTTGATTGGGCTATGCTTAGACTCGTAAGTGCAGCCAAAACATAACTCCATAATTCCAGCCTAGTTCGGCAAGGGTGGAAACTGGACTTTTATAGTCAATTGACTCCCTTGCCTCGGGAAGATGGGTTCCCCATATCATGCATATCACCTACAAAAATTGTACAAAATGGTTCAGAAGGAATCACATTATAACCATGATATAATAATTGTTCGGTACTTAAATGACTCCAAGCAGTTCACTGCCTGATCATTGTCTTGGCCCATTGGGGTCACGTGTGAGCCAGTCGTCTAAGGCGCCACGATTCGCTGTGCAGAGTTGCGTCCCTTGGGCACACCAGAAACCTATGATTGTGACCCCGATTATGTTTCTAGGTTTGTCAGCACCATACCTGTGCTCGTGGGTTTCACTGAAGTGGTAAACGTCTGAGACCTGCATCACTTCGGGCTTTCCTCCCACATTAAGCTGACACGCCGTGATATAACTGGAATACTGTTAAAAGCGGCATTAAACACAACTCACTCACTCACTCACTCACTCTTGGCCCATCAGTACATGTATTTGTATTGAACTCAATTCAAACACAAACCATGCTAACAGCATCAATAAGCAGCCCCACACATAGCACAGCCTAGACTGAGATCTGCTGAGAAACATGCCATCACCTCCACAAGAAGTAGTATAGGTAATGGGGGTTCTGCCGCAACTCCACTGGAGCAGGATTCATATACCTATACTGCTACTACAGGAGGAATTTTTTATGCCAAAATGATGATGCGATTTAATGATAGTCATAATTCGTATTAAAAGAAATATCAATATTAATTAATAATGGATAAAATTTACTATAGCCCACGAGGATATTGGAAAGGTGTAGGAGCAATAAAAAAATTAGCCACCGCGGCTAAGGTATCTAAAGATGTGGCCAAGGATTGGTTAAAGAAACAAGCGATGTGGCAAATATATTTACCGGCACCGTGTTATATACCGAGGAAGAAGTTTGATATTTTTACAACGAATGAAGTTCATCAGGCTGACCTCTTGTTTCTTCCCCACGATAAGGTAAAACGCAAAACGTATAAATACGCTTTAACCGTTGTGGATGTGGCTAGTCGATACAAAGAGGCTGAGCCATTAACATCGAAAGAATCAACAGAGGTAGCTAATGCACTGAGTCGCATATATAAACGCGGACCACTAAAATGGCCTAAGCTATTTCAAGTAGATCCCGGTCGCGAGTTTATGGGATCGGTAACTAAACTGTTAACAAAGAACGATGTCAAAATCGTCCGTGGTGAAAGAGAGGCCCACCGCAGTCAAGCTATTGTCGAAAGATTTAACAGGACATTAGCGGAACGTTTGTTTGGCTATCAGTATGGGATCGAAATGAAATCGGAACGATTGAGATCAACCGAATGGGTGACACGATTATCAGCCGTTGTATCAGCGCTGAATAATGAAGTAACGAGATTAATAGGGAAGAAACCATCCGATGCTATTAAAATGAAATCAGTGACTTCCGAATCTTCAGCACCGAGGAGAGGCAAAGAACGAAAACTTCCGGATAGAGTAAGGGTAAGATATTTATACCAGCCCGGTG